TTTTTTTTTTTTTTTTGACAGTTTAGCTATGAAATTATTAATGCATAAAAGGTAGTTTTGTTTTTTTTTTTCTCTTTGGTATGTTAGATGATAGGCAGGATAGAACTATCTTTTCCAAACCCCTTCTCACCCATCCCACTATTCAAATTTGAGATCTTCAATATAAAAACTCAAGCTTTTACGTACTAAGATATACTCTAAAAGACTAAAAGGTCAACTTGTTTGTTCAAATGGATATCACATATTTTGCGAGTTTGTTCCAAAATTAATGTTGGGGGAAGGAAAAGATCAAATTGCACTTATCTATTTAGTTTATGGTGGGTATACTTAACCCTCAAATCTAAAAAGGATACGTTAATAGCATGTGGTTTAAAACTTTGCCCTTAATACGTTAGATCTGATACAATGTTTTGGTGCCTGTTTGTTCTGCATGGTAGGGAACATGTGATAACTGATTGTTGATATTGAACAACAGTTAATTGTTATTGTTATTTGTAATCCAGACACCCTTATCCATATGATTAGAGACTAACAAGTGATCGTTGATACTTATTTTAAACGACAGATAGTTATTGTTTGTAATCCCAACACTTATTTATTTAGTCATATAATTTCCTTGGATTTGGTCATTGGGTAGGAGAAACAAACATCACAATGCTTATTGCATTCCTCCCTTTTTATTATTATTATATTTTTCTTTTTGTGATATTCATCATTGTCCCAGGTTCTGACTATAATTTTTTTTAATAGGAACAAAGCGTTGTAACTTTAACACCAGTCAATTTAGAGGTGTTGACTATAACTCAGAGGAGTGATTGGATAGAGATTTTATGTTTTGAAATACACGTAACTGATTGCAAAAATCCTCCATTAGTACGGTGACCGATATTAGTAAGCCAATCCTTGAATACTACTCTCTCTGGACCTGGTCTTGCTTTTTAAGCTTATTTATTGCCCTTTACCCTTTCTTCAATTCAATTTGCCTCAGCTCCACCAGAAAGCCTGAATACAAAAATATATGGAGTGGAGCTCTCTAGAACTCACTCATTTCGTGCAGGGCTCTCAAAGCCTTCAATTTTTTCCAGAAACTTTCAGTCTACTCTGTTGTATATATTGTGGATGAAGAACAGAACAAGAAAGAGCAAAAACAAAAACGTCTGCAGCGTCAGAAAACGCCCATTGCCAGACGTAAAGGAGGGAACCCTGAATGGAATCACCTGTTGCACTTCGATCTCAGAAGCTTATGTCACGACCACCGTGATAATCTTTTCCTCAGGTTCGATTTGCGATGTGAAGGGTTGGTAAATAGAACTATTGGCGAAGTTCGGGTTCCAATGAAGGTCCTCATAGACGAGTTCGATAAGGCTTTGAGGTTTGTGAGTTATCAGGTGAGAAGCTGTGATGGAAAGGCTAATGGGGTGCTGTATTTTTCATACAAGTTGGTCGGGAGCACCAAAAAGCTAGTAAAGAACCATACTAGACTCGAA